TGTTGAAAAATTTCTAAAAAATCTCTAACAGAGTAACACCTTTCAAACACTTGACACTGGATCATTTTTAGATTTTTGGTAACCAGGGGATAGAAAATACACCCTTACATTACCACTTTATTTTCCATTTCCTCCTAGTGAATCAAAATAGTTCATTAGCTGAATAAGGCAGGAAGAACAAGCAGTAGATTCCCCATCCATTTGTAAAACAATAACCATTGAACCTTTCCCAGTGGTCCCAGAGCTAATACAAACTATTATCAACTAAATTTAAATTTTAAAGCCTAGAAGTAACAATATCTGCTTCTTAAAGCTAGCATGTATATAACACAAATTAAGTTTCTGAACTATAGGGCGCCTGGGTGGCTCAGTTGGTTACGCGACTGCCTTCAGCTCAGGTCATGATCCTGGAGTCCCTGGATCGAGTCCCGCATCGGGCTCCCTGCTCTGCAGGGAGTCTGCTTCTCCCTCCGACCCTCCCCCCTCTCATGTGCTCTCTCTCATTCTCTCTCTCTCAAATAAATAAATAAAATCTTAAAAAAAAAAAAGTTTCTGAACTATAAATGACAGAATTTTTAGTTAAGCAAGGAGAATGAGAATATTAGAATGATAACTGTGCCTTCTGGGTAGCAGAGACATCAAAATTTTATTAAGTAAATTAATTTGGAAAGTGAAGATATTAAATTATCCACTAGAAATACAGTATCCCAAAGCTCATGATTAGGGCAGAAATTAACCCAAATATCATTAACCTTCCCGAGCAGGATGCTTGAATACAGAGGCAGCAACTTAAAATCTTTTGATGTCAAACTGGTCTAAATCCAAGTTCCACTTTTTGAAGAAGTTATCTTTTGGACCTTCAGTTTCTACATCTGTAAAATGGGGATAGTGGCCTAGCAGGAATTGTATTACCTGGCAAAGAGAAGGCCACCAATCCCCTCTCCTCCATAAAAGAAAAAGACATTGTATTTTAGCATTGTTCTGAAACAGTTTGTCCTCATAAAATGTGTTTCTTCTTGAATAGGGAACTTATGAATGGCAAGACTAAAGTTTCTCTTTTTCTCCTGGACATACATACACAAATAAGCATACACCTTATTTCAGTTGTGTTAAAACTTGAAGACTGGTTCTACCCTAAGAAAACTGGGGAAAAATGTCACAAGGATGCATTTATCACAACTTGAAACACTGTAACATATTCATTATTTAAAAAGTGACCATGTACACAACCCCTGGGAATCAGTGGAGACAGAGTAGCTCAATAAAGAAGAAAACAATTTCCAAAGGGTCTAGCTCAATGATAGCCAAAGTAGGGTAACAAGAAACTTTGCTGGAGTGCAGGAAAAAAAAAAAAAAATTAGAACTCCAATTTCCATTTTTACCTCATTCTTTAAATTTTTTACATGTTTTATAGTGCATACATTTCATTCATACATAAATATTCAGACATTGGGAATACAAGTTTAATTTTTTTGACAAGGCGTACAATCAAAAAAAGCTGGAGATGACTTTTCCAGACTATGAGACTAGAGAACACACATATAAAGTCACTAATGAAAATAGTTGAAGACCCACATTAAGCTTAAACAGTAACATAAAACCTTGAGTTACAAGTTTTTAAAACAACTGAATTTATGACATTCAATATTTACTTCTAATGTAGTTAAGAATGGGTATAGAGTTCTACTTTAGTTTGCTTTTTAGTCTAACTGGGTATCAATGACTATACAAAGTAGAACAAAGTCCATTGCCTTAAACCTCCAGTTAACCACTGTGAATGTGTCCTGCAGGTAGTACATTTAACAAAAGTTAAGTCTGAAGTCTGTTACCAGGTTTATCCTCAATGTCCATATTCTAAAACTTCTACAAAAAGCCTCTTTTAGTTCCTAGCTTTATTTTACAGTATGGTTGGTTTCAATATGAGATGCAAAGCTTAAAAGAAGGGGCTAATTTAACATTTGCAAATGACCATATGCTGCTGGGGAGTACAAATATGAGGTCAACACTGCCAACTTTCATCACTATCAAAAGCAGTGGTTTGTGTTTTTTTTGAAAGATACCGGAACCAGAGGCCATTTACATGAGTTCTAGTCTATATGACTCAGAATTCCATTTGTCCTACCCTTTGCTTCAGAGCTGAAGTCAGAAATGTCTCCATCTGTGTCATAATTATTTCCAAAACCAATTAAGAGATGGCAAACAGAAAATTATGACTTCAGGTAATGAATAAAATGGCAAGAATGGATAATTCTTTAGAATTAAAATTTAGTTCATCCAAAGCAAACAAGTAAATTAAGTGATTTGCCATTTATTTGCTTAGAGAAAAGACAAATTATCACACTTTTAAAGGATGCAGGGGTGCCTGGGTGGCTCAGTCGGTTAAGCATCCGACTCAGGTCATGATCTTGGCTCACAGGTCACAGTCTTGTGGTCATGGGATCCAGCCCCCCCTCCCCCCCGACTCATGTGCTCTCTCTCTCTCTCTCAAGTAAATAAAATCTTTAAAAACAAAAAATAAAAGGATGCAAACATTGTAAGTTGCCTTGTCCCCCATAGGAGTGGGAAAACACTTCACAGGTTTTATTATGGTGCTGCTAAAGGGTGGAGGTAGCAAAGGGGTCAATGATCCACTAGAGGCAGGGAAAGGGGGGCAAGACTGCTCTTAAGAGAAGATAGAGGATGATGACATACTTTTAACACTACTGTCAACTCTGGGAAATATTAAGTTTAAGAGGAATAGTCAGCAATTTGTCTCTATGTCCTGAGACATAAATAGAACCACATTTCCTTATTAACCAATAAACAGCCCAATAAGCACAGAAAAACTAAAGACTTTATCTCATTTGCTATTAAATTATAAAATGTTAAATTATTTTAATAGGTGGTACAAAATAAAAACTCAGAATGAATTCAGTTTACTTTTAAGTAAATGGATTTGTATAGACAACAGTTTGTGCAATTAGGGACCATTTTTTGTGCTTTAAAGGGTACAATATAGATAAGGACAAAAGTTTGTTATTAAACCAAATATACAAAAGATTTCATTATCTTGTCCCTCAGTCAAACCGGCAAGTAAATGTTCTTTTCTTTTGTTACCATAAACTGGCACCATAAGCACACTGAAGCAATTTGTGCTGAGGAAGTGCCATCCTAGTATAGCATTAAGGGTTTTTCATAGTCTGGCTTGAATGCACACCTTCCCAGCCCCTTTTCTTTGCCACACCCCTTTAAAGACCCCAAGTATCAAAAAAAAAAAAAAAATCACAACTTTCTTTTAATTATACCCCCACACCTTTCCCCACGTTGTTCCTCAGTCATTCTTCATCTCCATTTGTTAAAGTCCTATCCATTCTCCAAGTCCCTCCGGGGTTGACGTTCTCACATGTATGACTGTCATACACTATGGAGAGTGCCATTAACTACACATTCGTTTAGTGACATTCCACTGTCGATTAGACTGCTAGTTTCTTAAGGGCAGCAAGTCGTCTGAATCAATCTCACATTTCCAACTGCCATAAACTCAACACCCGGCAAAACAGAAGCTTGAAACACAGCAACTCCTCGATGTTCTTAATTGAATGGCCAACTCATTCTGGATTTATAAATTGAGATATTACAGTTTTATCCTATGTAAGGTGAAACAGTGCTCTCCTGGATTAGTATCGGTAAGTATTGCAAAACAAAACCCCCCAAGCCCCCCAAAATAAAACAAAAAACAAGGCATCTGAATCTTATTTACTAACTATAGGAATAAACTCAATTGAATGGTACCAGCTTTGAACTGTGCCTTGAAAGTACTAGTCATAAGGCAGTCTGAAATAAGCTATCTCCTTTATCCAGATTTCAGACGGGTTTTTCTTATTAAAATCCGAGAGGTAAGAAATGAGCCAGCTCGGATATCTGAAGCCACCATTTCCACAGACCTCCTATTTATGTGTACTTTAGACCACTTGGGAAAGATGAGATCATTTAAGCAGCAGCGCCATTATTTCTCTTTATTTGACCCCAACAATGCTCTCAACCTCACAGTAAAGAGTCATGCATCAACCGGGCTAAGCTACGTTGTAACGAGGTAGTACAGGGGGGAGAAGCTACGCTAAAGAGCAGAGGACCGTCCCTAAAAATGTCGGATACTGAGGTCCTCTGGGCATCCCCTTCCCCCACCTTCACAAATCTACTCCTGGAATCTGAGACATAGGTCCTTTGTCTGAACAATGTGGGAGGAGTCTGTCTGCAGTGCTGGTGTGCTGGCAAGTGAAGAGAATTTACTGAAAACTGTATAAACGCATAAAGTTCCTTAACTCAATTACCTTACTGTCCATTTTTTTCTTCATCGTGTACGCTACAGTGTTCCAAAAGATAGCCAATGTGCTTTTTCGAGAGTTAAAGTGTATCAAAAGAGAATACAGATAGATCAACAGAGAGTTAGGCTGCTCTTCAAAAGCGAAGTTTCTGAACAGCGGAGGGGTGGAGGGGGGTGATGGTGTTACCCACCACTTGAACATTCCCTTCCCTCTCGAATGAGCTCTTTATACAAAGCCTCCATTTCTGTCAATTTCTTCATCTGAACAAGCTGCTGTAAGGTAAGCTGAGCGCCTTTTATAAGACAGTCGGCTGCGCAAACTTGCAATCTCGCAGCTTTCCGTGCACAACACCGAATCCACAACCGACCCGACCTTTTACCACCTCACTGAGGTTTTGGGGGCCACGCCAGCCTACTGTTCCACGAACACAGCCCGAGTGAAGGGAACACCACCGGACTGGGTGGCTCGAGAAACTTAACACCTTTTACCATGCAAAACCCAGCGGAATACCGTGGGTTTCCGCAAGGTGACCCATCTTCTCATCTCATCTACCACGGTGCCTCGCAGACCCCTTCGCGATGGACTTGGGCGACTCGCCGGGCTCAGTGTGGCTGCCCAGAGCTCGTTTCTTCCGTCTGCCCACCCACGCCCGGGGGCCAAGCCCAGCTGGACTCCCCTCCTCCCTGCCGCACTCACCCTGGCGACCGACAATCTCGGCGACGTGCTCGGAGCTGGGCACCGGGACGCACTCAGTGGTGTTGACACTCTTCCTCCGGAGCAGGGCCGCCTGCTCCCCGTTTAGGGCGGCAGCCGCCGCCGCCCCGCAGCCGCCGGGGCCGTAGGCGTGGGACAGCATCGCCGCCATCATGCCCTGGGCATCGTCCCCTCCGTAGAGCACCCCCGCCGCCGCGGCCGCCGCGGCCGCCTCCCGGGCATCGAAGCTGGCGGCGGGCAGCAGCACCGACCCCAGGGACCCGCCCGGGATCGGCTGGGTCTGGGAGGCGGCGGCCGCGGGCGGCGACAGCAGCAGCAGCGACGGCCGGTCCTCCTCCTCTGCCTCCTCCAGCTCCTCCTCCTCCAGCAGGTCTCCGTCCAGCTCCGCTTCCTCCCCCTCCTCCTCCTCGTCCTCCTCCAGCTCCAGCTCGGCTGCCTCCGGGACCCCGGGCCGGCCGGGCGGAGCCCGCTCCTCCGGAGACAGCCCCGCCGCCCGCCGGGCCTGGCCCTGCGCCGCCGCCGCCGCGGCCCGAAGCGCCGGGGTACCGGGCTCCGCCGGGCTGGGGTCGTCGAGGCCTAGCGCGGCCAGGCGCTCCCTCAGCAGGCGCCCGTCCCCCTCCAGCTCCGGGCCGCCCGCGGGCGGCGGCAGCGGCGGCGGCGGCGGCGGCTGCGGCAGGGGGGCCGGGGCCGCCGCCAGGGCCAGGGCCGCGGAGCTGCCGCTCGGCATCGCGGCGGCGCGCTGTCAATGGCGGCGGCGGCGGCGGCGGCCGGGTCAGGCGCGGCGGGCGGCGAGCCCCATGGCGGACAGGGCTCGGGCCCTGCTCAGCGCGCAAACACCTTTCCTCTGGGGAGGCGGCGGGGCTGGCGACCCGGGCCGAGGAGCGCCAGGGCCGCCCGGAGACTGGAGAGGGCGGGGTGGAGGGGCAGAGGAAGGAGGCAGAGGCAGGTAACTAGGTGGGTGGGTGGGGACGGCTGCGGGGCGGGCTGCTGGAGGTGGCAGCGGCTCCCCTCTCAGGGTTTCTTTTGTTTCATGGCCTTAACCAGCCCCCGGCGCGCGCGGCGGCGGCGACGCCCCACGCCGCTCTCCGAATGAAGCCGGCGCGCTCTGATTGGCTGCTTTTAATCTCTGGGAGCCCTCCCTCTCCTCCCCGCAGCCTTCTAATTCCTTTCCCTAGCCCCACCCCCCACCCTCTTCTCGGGCCCCGCCCCGCTCCTCCCCAGAGCTCTCTGATTGGGTGACCGGGACAAGCCAGTCCCCGAAGCCTTCGCCTTCCGTCCTCTCCCCACCCCCCTCCCCTCCCTCCCCTCTCCCTACGGGCTCACGAGGAGAGGGACTGTGATTGTTCGCTTTACACGTCACTCTTTGTGACGTACCCAGGTGGGGCGGGGAAAAGTAGGAGGGACGAAGGCGCTGTAACAGGCTGAAACTGGGGCCGACTAGGGGTTTTCGCGCAGGCGCGTGCAGTCGAAGCACACACCTGGATTTCTCCCTTTGTCCTCGTCCGTCTCGCCCACCGGGGTCGGGTCTTTTAGGGCACTGTGTGAGCGGCCTTGGAGTGGAGCGTAGGCATGGGCACGGAGAGCGTTGTGTCCCCAGGTTGAGGACGAGATTTCCTCCTTTCGGGGTAGGGGCCTAGGGAGAGTCAGCGGAGGAGGGGCCAGTGAGGTGTCCTCCTATCCGGCCGCGGGGGTGGTTTCCTGAGCCGCGTGGCTCCGGGGCCTTCCCTGCACGATCCGAGAGCGCTCCTCCCTCCGGGCAGGGCCCTCCCACGCCCGGCTGGCTGGGCTTCCAGTGCCAGGAGGCCGCTGGGTTACAGCGGGAGCCTTGATGTGCTGAACTTTAGTTCTTTGGGGCTCTTCAAGGAAATTAAGTCATTGTTTCCTTCTCCAAGGCGCTCCTCCCACAGTACGGCCTAGGTGATCCCGCACAGTGCTCTCTTTTCTGGAGGCTTATTTTTAAACGGCTTGTTAAAATTACAAAGCCTACGGCTTTCCAACATCTTAGGCTATGACATAACCCCCACCCCTACCCCCGCTTTAGTACCAGTTAGTCTCCCCAGGTTAATCTTAACCCACGTTGTCCTACAGAGATATATAATGCGAGCAACATAGTGTCGTTTTAAGGTTTCTAGTGGCCCCATTAGAAAAAATAAGAAAAGACTTGATTCATTATATTTAAAACATCACTTCAACATGCAATCAATATAAAGTTATTAGTGATAGATTTTATAGTTTTTTCAGTCTTTGGAAATGGTGTGTATTTTACACTTTTAAACTCAGCATATCTCGATTCAGTTCGCTTCACACCAGCCATATTTCAAGTACTCTAGTACATATTTCAGGTACTCAAGTACATATTTCAAGCAGCTCTAGACCTTTTGATTTTTGAGTTATAACTTGGGACCTTTTTAAATTTTTTTTTTTTAAGATTTTATTTATTTATTTGAGACAGAGAGAATGAGATAGAGAGAGCATGAGAGGGAGGAGGGTCAGAGGGAGAAGCAGACTCCCCGCCGAGCGGGGAGCCCGATGCGGGACTCGATCCCGGGACTCCAGGATCATGACCTGAGCCGAAGGCAGTCGCTTAACCAACTGAGCCACCCAGGCGCCCTGTTTTGTTTTGTTTTTAAGAACCAAAGGAAGTGCTGTAAATTTGACCTAATGTGTAGGAGCTTTATGCTATATTCTTGATGTAATGATCAGATGATAAATCTTTTGAACACTTTTTTTTTTTTAAAGATGTTATTTATTTATTTGAGAGAGAGAGAATGAGAGACAGAGAGCATAAGAGGGAGGAGGGTCAGAGGGAGAAGCAGACTCCCTGCCGAGCAGGGAGCCCGATGCGGGACTCGATCCCAGGACTCCAGGATCATGACCTGAGCCGAAGGCAGTCGCTTAACCGACTGAGCCACCCAGGCGCCCCGGGACCTTTTTATATTGGATTTATTTATTAGATCTTGCTGCCTCAAATTCATGAGTGAATTTTAATTGAGCTCCTACTCCCCTAAATTGTCTAGAATGTTACAAAGCCAGTAGTTCAAGAGGAAGCTAAACTATGTCTTCTCTTTCTCTAGTTTGTGGCTTTGCAGTGAGGTGCAGAATCCTTATTTCAATTTACTTCACCTCTTCAATCAAAGGCCTGGAGAATTTTCGCTAACACTACAACTTCCCTGTTATTCCAAGGTTTCCCTAGACCTCATATAAACCTGTGTGTTGCTTCTCTAACAACTTATTTGTAGATTTCAACCCTGACAGCAAAGTCAAGAAGGGCTTTAAAAAAAAGCTAAATGCAGAGCAAGGAGAGGCAAACTCTGGGTATTTGGATTTAGTGGGAAATTTGGAGTGGGAACCTGGACATGTTTTTAAAAAGCCACACAGGTTGTTCTGAAGCTCAGCTAGGGTTGAGAACACTGATCTAGGGTGTGCTTTTGGGTTTACAGAAGGAATTTGCTATTAACTCTACTGAAAAATTAGGTACAATTTTCACTGATTTACTACATCTACATCCTTTCTGTGATATGCCCCAAGGACATATTATTTCACAACATCTTAACAAAGGTACTGAAACTTTTAATGTACCAGTGAATAGCTTGTATAACAACATTTACTTATAGAATATACAAATACTGTATGTTTGCTGTCTGATATTTCCGTTTAAACAATAACCATTATTTGAAGGGTAGATCTTCTAGCAAAGCAAATCTCATCAAGGGAGAAAATCAAAACATGCAGTGGCCCTCCCAGGATACATTGGTCATTGGGAAGAAATTCTGAGAAATTCATTTTGCCATCTCTTTTCATGATTTGTCATTTAATGCTCACATCTTGGTCCCAAGGACCAAAGGAAGAGTGGGAGTGATAGTTCACCATTTTTCTTTTGAGAGGGAGAGATGTAAAGAATAGAGACCCATTCGGCTAAGGTTTTTTAAAATGCTAAATGGTTTAACCCAGGTGTTCCTAATATAAAAATTGCTTTCTGCTTCATTCTCACATAATAAATGAGGTTTCATAAGTTCCCATACACAAATGTATATATTCATGCATTAATTTACACTTGATCAATACTGTGATTTATGAACAAGGTAGGAGATATTGAAGCCCACGGACCTTCCCATTTGGGTCTAAATTTGTCTTGTATTAAATTTTGTTTATGAAGCAAATTTAAGATTTGCTTTTGCTCTAAATATATGCTTGGGATTCCTTCATTTAAATTCATTTAACAACACCATCTTTTCTACCCCAGCCACATAACACCCTAATTTGTACCTGGGTAGGGTTTCTCTTTCATTCCTCCGCGGCTGTTAATGATGTAGGTAGATACACTGGCGCAAAAGAGTTGCTTTAGGGATCTCAGGACAAAAAGAAAACTACAGAGTTGGCTACATTTTATCAACTCACAGGCTGACTGCTGAACTAGCTTTTTAAACCTGTCTAATTGTAATGATTTTAAGGTTGGAACAACTGCAAATTAAACAAAGCTTAACAAAGATGTTGGTCCTAGCAAGTAAACAGATTATTAGGGGTGCCTGGGTGGCTCAGTCGGTTAAGTGTCTGTCTTCGGCTCAGGTCATGATCCCAGGGTCCTGGGATGGAGCCCTGCATCAGGTTCCTTGCTCAGCGGAGAGCCTGCTTCTCCCTCTGCCTGCTGCCCCCCTGCTTGTGCTCTCTCTCTATATATATATCTGACAAATAAATAAATAAAATCTTAATTTTATTTATTACCACTATCTTCTCCTATCACCACTTTCTTCTCCAAATCCACTGCTCCGATAGCTATCTGCTCCCTTTCTTTAGGGCACACTGCAATGCACCCATGGGCTATGGCTGCTTCCTTGAAATTATCCTCATCTTGTCACTGAATCCCATGAGCACTGCTTATCCTTATTCAATTTAACCTTTTCCTGGCAGGATTTGACACCACTGACTGCTCCTAAAGCACTCTCTCCCAGGGTGCTGGGGGGCTCAGTCACTTAAGCATCAACTCTTGATTTTGGCTCAGGTCATGATCTTAGGGTCCTGAGATTGAGCCTCGAGTCAGGCAAGGTGTGGAGACTGCTTAGGATTCTCTCTCTCTCCCCTTCCCCCTTGCTCTCTCTAAAATAAAAATAAATAAACCTTTAAAAAATAAATGTAAGGGTGTTCATTTTTTTTAAAAAATCCACTTTTTAGCTTAGTATTCAATATCACCACTATCTACTCAGTTCCCATGACCAAAAGCCTGGTAGACATTCTTGACTTCTTTAACCTGCAAACCCAGTAAAGACCAAGTCCTGGGGGTTATACCTCTCAACTCTCAAGTCCTTCTATCATTCTGCATTTTTACCACCATTCCCATAGTCAAGGCCACCATCATTTATATCATGAACTATCCCAGTAGTCCCCAAACCGTATTCTTATATCCAGGCTTGCTCTCCTCCAATTCATTTTCCATGCTGCTGAAATGATTGTAATTCAGGTTTATGCCTTCCACTGCCCTGCTTAAAATCCTTGTTGTCCTTAGAATAACACCCCAATTTGTTAACATAATTTACAAGGTCTTCTGTATCTGAGTCCTGCCTTCTGCTTTAGCCTGATTTCATGCCATTCTTCCTCTTGCATTCTTTGCCTCTTCCACAGAGGCCTTCCAGCAGCCGTTCCTGGGTATATTGTACATACTTTATTATGCTTTCAGGCCTGGAATACAGTTCTCCTCTGCCCACTCTTAGCAAACACCCACTTGTCCTTCACGGCTCAGCTTGTATATCACTTCCACTAATCTTCTAGGGGTAAGGCAAGTGTCCTTGCAGCAGGGTCTCATTGCATCCTCCATGTCTGTAGCAGTATTATCCACATCTAGTTGTTCAAGTGTCCCTCTTCCTCTGTTTGCACCCTCATACAGCCAGTGTCTACTATAGGTCCTGGCACATAGACGAGCCAGTGTCAACTTGCTGACTCAGTCCTTCAGCTAGTCTGAGCTTTTGGCCATTTTTCAAACACACATTATAATCTCCCATCTTTGTGCCTCTGCTTGTGATGTTTTTGTGCCCAGATTCCCCTTGCCTTCTATGCCAACCTCTTCTCTCTCTACTTATTGTTAAGCCTCAGCTTAAATTCAACTTCTCCCAGCATGCTCTCCTAATTGATATGGTCAGTCTTTCCCTTACCCTAGGAAAATGCAGTTGAAGGCAACATTTTGCATATATCTTCTGAACGCTTATACAACCTCCTGAAGTCTATCCATAGACCCCTTTAGTTTTCTGTAGAGCTGGACACAGACTGGCGAGATGGTCACTAAGCCAGTTTTCTCTTCTTCCTGAGCACACAGCTAGCCTACATTTCCTGGCCTCCACTGCAGTTGGGAGTAGCTGTAAGACTGAGTTTTACACCATTTCCAGATCAAACCCTTCAAAATCCCTCACATTATCTTCCGCATTCCTCTCCCATCTGTGATGTAGATGAGTATGATGCCCATAGAAGCCACATGTTAAAGATGTCCAAGCCACAAGATGAAAGGAGTCTGGATCACCATGTGGAGGAGAGGCGCCCTCCAATCAGATATAAGTGTGTGAGAGGTAAGATATAAGGCTTATGTGAGAGGAAAAATATTTTTGTTGAGTTTGAAATATTATATATTTTTGTGTACATTTATTACAGCAGTTAACCTATTTTAACTACTATACCAGATTAAAAACGTCTGGTTTGTAAAGAGATAGTAGAATGATCAGTGGTTCCAGGGGTTAAGGGGAAGGGAGAGATAAATAGGAGAAGTACAGAGGATTTTGTGAAACTGTTCTGTATGTAACTATGATAGTGGATATATGTCATCATACATTCATCAAGACCCATAAAATATACACTACCAAGAGTGAACTCTAATGTGAACTATATAGGCTTTGGGTGGTAATGATGTGTCAACGCAGGTTCATCAGTCATAACAAATGTACCACTCTGGTGCAGGATGATAGAGGGGGAAGCTGTATGTGTGTAGAGTCAGGGCATATATGGGAACTCTGTACTTTCTGCTCAGTTTTGTGGTAATCTAAAACTGTTTTAAAAAATAAAGTGTATTAAAAATGCTTTTAAACCTGTTTGCCCTTCAACAATATTTAGTTTGAATTTGCTTTGGCCACAAACTGCCTGGGATGTTCCCACGTAGCATGGAACCTAATAATATATATATATTTAAGATTTTATTTATTTGCTTTAGAGAGAGAGAGAGAGAGAGAGAGCATGAGCTGGGGGAGGGGAGGGAGAAAACCCCAAGCAGGCTCCATGAAAAGCATGGAGCCCGACACAGGGCTCCATCCCATGACCCCAAGATCATGACCTGAGTTGAAACCAAGAGTCAGACGCCTAACCGACTGAACTAACCAGGTGCCCCTGGAATCTGATAATATTTATTTACACAAGGAACAATCCACTAAGTGACACAGCAATCCTCAAACTGCATGCACCAAACACCAGAGCTTCAAAATATATGCAAAACAAAAAACCAGATAAAGCTGAAAGGAGAATTAGAAAATCCACAATTATATCTGGGGCCTTCAACACCCATTTTTGAGCAATTGCTACAACTGTTAGACAAAAAAAAATCAGAAAAAATGTAGAACTAAATAATACTATCAGCCAAGAGGGATCTAATTGATATTTATAGAGAATTCTACCCAGCAACAGCAGAATACACATTTTTGTCAACTGCCTATGCATCTTTCATATACATAGACTATATCCTGAGCTGTGAAACAAATCTCAACAAATTTAGAAGAATTGAAATCATATAGAGTATGCTCTCTGACCATAATAGAATCAGACTAGAAATTAATAACAGAAAGAGAACAAAAAATTTTTGAAATACATGGAAATTATATGACACACTTCTAAATAATTCATGAATCAATGAGAAAGTCTCAAGGGAAATTTAAAAAAAATACATTGAATGAAATGAAAATGAAAATAAAATACATCAAAATTTGTGGGACCCAGCTGAAGCAGAGCTGAGAGTAATTTATGGTATGAAATGCATTTGTCAGAAAAGAGGAAAGGTCTCAAATCAGTAATCTGAGTGCCTATCTAAGAAAAAAAAAAGAGCAAAATAAACCCAAATAAAATTGATACACCTTTAGTAAGACTGACAAAGATAAGGGAGAAGACACAGATCACCAATATTAGTAATGAAACAGTGGATACCACTACAGATCCTGCAGCCATTAAGAGAATAAAAGGAGAATACTACAAACATTGTTATGTTCATAAATTTGACAACTTAAAAGAAATGAACCAACTACTCAAAAATCACAAGCTACTAACCAACGTGAAATAGACATTTTGAATATCCTATAATAATTAAGAAAAAGGAACTTTTTTTAAGTTTCTATTTAAATTCCAGTTAACATACAGTGTAATATTAGTTTCAGATGTACAAATTAGTGATTCAACAGTTCCATGCAACACCCAGTGCTCATCACGACAAGTGCAGTCCTTAATCCCCATCACCTATTTTTTTAAAATATCATTTATTTATTTATTTGACAGACAGACAGACAGACACACACACACAGTGAGAGAGGGAACATAAGCAGGGGGAGTGGGAGAGGGAGAAGCAGGCTTCCCGCGGAGCAGGGAGCCCCACGTGGGGCTCGATCCCAGGACCCTGGGATCATGACCTGAGCCGAAGGCAGATGCTTAACGACTGAGCCACCCAGGCGCCATCCACCCCCATCACCTATTTAACCCATCCCTCCACCCACCTCCCCGCCAGTATCCATCAGTTTATCCTCTATAGTTAAGAGTCGGTGTCTTGGTAAGAAAATTGAATTTGTAATAAAAAAGCTCCTGAAAAAGAAATCTCCACGACCAGATGGTTTCACTGGAGAATTCTACTAAATGTTTAAAGAGGACTTAAGACCAATTTTATACAGTCTTTTCCAAAAAATAGAAGAGGAAGGAATACTTCACATTTTATTTATTTAATTAATTTATTTTTTAAAGATTTTATTTATTTATTTGGCAGAGAGAGAGATAGCAAGAAGAGGAACACAAGCACGGGGAGTGGGAGAGGGAGAAGCAGGCTTCCTGCCGAGCGGGGAGCCTGACGCAGGGCTCGATCCCAGGACCCTGGGATCATGACCTGAGCCAAAGGCAGACGCTTAACAACTGAGCCCCCCAGGTGCCCCTTCACAGTCATTTTATGATGGCAGCACAGATACTAAAGCCAGACAAAGACAATGCAAGGAAAACAAACTAAAATTACAGACCAAAATCTCATGAATATAGACACAAAAATCTCTAACATTTTATCAAATCGAACCTAGCAACATATAAAAAGAAGCATACATACGTCACCACCAAGTGGAATTTACTTCAGATATTTAAAGCTAGTTCAATATTTAAAAGTTCATCAATGGAAAACACATGTTCATAGAAAAACTTGCCAGGAATGTTCGTTGCAGCATTATTCATAATGACCAAAAAGTGGAAACAACCCAAATATTATCAACTGGTCAATGGATAAACAAAATATGCTATATCCATCCAATAGAATATTATTCAGCCATAAAAATGAATGAAGTACTGATATATGCTACAACACAGATGAGCCTTGAAAACATTATGTGAAAGGAGTCAGTCACAAAAGGCCACATATTGTATGATTCCATTTATATGAATATCCAGAATAGACAAATACGTAAAATCAGAAAGCAGATTAGTGGCTGCCAAGGACTAGGGAGTGAGGAGAAAGGTGGTGACTGCTGAAGGGTATGGAGTTTCTTTTTGGGTTGATGAAATATTTTGGAATTAGTGGTGATGGTTTAAAATCTTGGGAATATAATAAAAGCCGTGGAATTGTATGCTTTAAATATGTGCATTATGTTGTATGTTAATTATCTCAATTAAGAAGCCAATAAATGTACTCTGCCATATCAACAGTCTAAATAAAAATCTTATTATCCTCTCAATTGATGCATAAAAAGCATATCACAGAATTCAATACCCATTTGTGATAAAAACTCTTAGAAACCTAGGCATAATGGGACAATTCCTCAACCTGATAAAGAAAATCTACCAAAAAACCTATAGCTAACATTATACTTAATGGTGAAAGACTGAATGCTTTTCCCCTAAGATTGAGAACAAGGCAAAGATAGCTACTCTTCATGTTCTTGTTCGGCATAGTACTGGGGGTTTCAACCAGAGCAATGAAGCAAGAGAAAGAAACAAAAGACAGGCAGATTGGAAAGGAAGAATATTTAGATGGAATTATCAAATATAAACAGAAAGTTAGTTGAAAACCCAAAAGGAAAGACCATTTCAATAAGAAATTTCTGGTTTCAAAATAAAAGAGAAATCAGCAGAATTGATCCCCAAATTTATGTCGAACTGGCTTAAAAGTCTCACTATAAAGGAGTAGTTATCACGAATAAGTAGTCAGAAAAAGTGACATATAGGCACCAAAATGTTGAGAAAGGAAGGGAGAGTTTAATTAGCTAACTAAAGAGTTAAGCTAACTAAAAGTTAACACAAAGAAAAGCTGTGGCAAGATATCACATAATATATATAAAATAGTAAAAATTGATAAAAGAGAAAATGAGAAAACTAAAGAAGGAAATGATATACAAGTTGTAGACAAGAAAGAAAAAATATTGAAATGAATCTGGAATAGGTAAGTAAATATTAGTTGATAAGAGATGCTAAAGAAAATGTCTTTATAAAGCTGTAAAGGAAATCTGATTATACAATCATGTTGCAAGTAAAAACCATTATTTTAATACATTATAAAGTTATGTTTAAGAAATATTCAAACTGGGGCACCTGGGTGGCTCAGTCGTTAAGCATCTGCCTTCAGCTCAGGTCATGATCCCAGGGTCCTGGGATCGAGCCCCGTATTGGGCTCCTTGCTCCGCGGGAAGCCTGCTTCTCCCTCTCCTACTCCCCCTGCTTGTATTCCCTCTCTCGCTGTGTCTCTCTCTGTCAAATAAGTAAATAAAATCTTTAAAAAAAAAAAAAAGAAATATTCAAACTATGTAAAGAAGTTTGATGGATGAACATGTAAATAATTACATTCTTCTTTAATTTTTGGCCTTATTTTGGATGATATCAGCATCCAGGAAGATTCTTCACTCTCTTGTATTCTACTCCACCTCTACTTATCTGCCTGTCTTTTAAAATTTATTGTGTAATATTGGTTTACCTAACTTTGGAGGTTCATCCATTCAAACCTCAACTTCTCTACCAAGTTCTACCCCATGGAGTATGTCTTCTGAAGACAGTGGGAAACATGAACCAAACAAAGGGGAGTTTGCTACTTTTCATCTTGACCAATTGCTTCTCCTGTCTTGCCTCAGTTTCTTGACAGATAAAATATGGAGAAATTTATTCATTCATTCAAAAGATAATTATTTAGCTTCTACTATGTCCCAGGTACTTGAAAGTATCTGGAATGCATTAGTGAACAAAAGAAAGATCTCTTTCTGGGGGACTTACACATTTTATGGGGGGGGGAGCATAAAAACATAAACAACAAATGTAATACATAAATTAGATAGTATGTTAGAAGGTGATCATACTGTAAAAA